ACACACATCACACACAGCACCCTTACACACAAATCACACACACAGCACCCTTACATACATCACACACAGCACATTTACACCCATCACACACAGCACCCTCACCCACAGCACCATTACACACATCATACACAGCACCCTCACTCACAGCACCCTCACACACATCACCCTTACACACATCACACACAGCATCCTCACACACAGCACCCTCACACACATCACACACAGCACCCCTCAAACACGGCATCCATCACACACACACATACTGCACTCTTCACATACATACTACACCCCTCACAGACACCCACTGCACCCCTCACACATACACAAAGAACACCAACACACTGCACCAAACACACACACACACACACACAATACTTCCAAACATATTCATAATATATATATACATATATATATATATATATATATATATATATATATATATATATACATACATATACACACACTACAGCACCCCTCACACACATACTGCACTACTAAACACATTACATTCCAGACACACACTAGATCCCTTACCCAACTCTGGATCAAATACACACACTAGATCCCTTTATACACTCTGAATCCATTATATACACACACTCACTAGATCTCCTACACATTCTGGGTACTTCAAACACACACTAGACTCCTGTATACACGCACACTGCACCACCTACACACACACACTACATTCCTAACATGCAGACTCTGGATCCCTTATACACACACTAGATTCCTTGTAAACAAACACATACTACAACCCTAAACACACACTCTCTACATCCCCTACAAACACTACATCACCTATATACACACACACACACACACTATAGCCTGTATGCACACACTTACTACATCCCCTATACACACATTCTCTACAGCCCCTAGCCACATATGCATTACATTACACCAAAAACAACACGACTAAAACCGACCTTATTACACAATACCACACAATAATCAGCTCACTCTACACACACGCAATCCCACAAGCAGGCTCCAAACACATGCACAATACTCTTTCCTGACCCTTTTGTCTCCTGGTTTCCATTAATAGAGACACCAGAGACAAGTTGCAAGGAAACACAGTGCAAGAATGTTATTAAATTTGCTGGCACTGTGCAGAACAAATACAGGGCTTTTTTTTCTTATGCTAGAGCTCTTTAGCAGAGCTCTGTGCATGGTCTGCCCTGGAAGAGCATTGAACCAACATGCTCACTTTGAGAGGGGGTGTGTTTGTCATTGGTGATGATGAAACACACCCTCTTGCCCCACCCCCTTCTTAGTGGGCCACTGTGATAAAAAAATGCCCGGGCTGAATTTTTCTCCCAGTCTGGCCCTGTAGGTAATACAATTGTTTTAAACATAACTCTTCTTAAAGGGACACTCCAGACCTCTAAAACACTTTAGCATGCTGAAAAGCTTTTTGTGTGAGGAGCTTGGCAGCTGCTTCTATGTGCTGCTACAAAGTGTATTTGGAGGTATTCTGGAGATAAACTGGAGGTAGCCTGAGGTATACAGAAGGTTGAAACAAAAGAAACAAAAAGTAAGATTTGTTTGATTTAACCCTTTAAGTACCACACATGTGTCCTTAAGGGGTTACACACCTCATCTCATGAAAATGGCAGACTTTGTTCAGTGTAATAGTTGTGCATTTGTTTCACTTTCCACTTTTTGGAGGTTTGGTTTTTGTCTAATTTGTAGACAGTTCTCTATACTGCAGCAGGAGATTGCATTTTTGAAGTCGGAGATTTGTAAAGTATCTGTTAAACAATCTCAGGCTGGGACTGTTGCAAATCCACTGCAGCAGAGATGTCCAAAGAATGGCAGATGGATTACTGTAGGATCTGGTAGACTTAGAGATGTGGACAAAAGGCATACTACACAGTCTGTGTCTTTACATAATTCCTTTTGTGCACTTTCAGATTTTAGTGATGTTACGGAGAAATACTCAGGCACCGAGTTTGTGGAACCACCATCCTCTATGCCTAAGGTGACAGGAGTGCACCCCAGGACAAAAAGGACAAGGTGAGGCCTGATAGAAAGCAGTTGTTGTTATGGGATTCTATCTTAAGAGGTGTAGAGTTGAACAATAGTGGCTTTGTGAGATGTCTTTCTGGAGCTACTGATCACAGAGACAGGAGATGTATTTGTAATATTGTTAAGCAAGGAATGGGAATTAGATGTACTTGTCCATCTTGGGACAAATGATTTGGCTTGTAATGAGGTTTCTGAGGTAAAGGAAGGGTTTTGTGTTCTTGCCAATGATATGCGGAAGGTTGCTTCCACACTGTCATTCTCTGAAGTTCTGCCTGTGCATAACACTCAGAACGACAGGCGGATGCGTATTAGGGACTTTAACTTGTGGCTTGGTGAATGGTGTCGGGAGCAAGGATTTGGCATTGTTTCTCATGGTAGCTCTATTTTGAATAGAAATGAACTGTACAAAAAAGATGGTTTGCATCTTTCTCAAAAGGGAACAAATGTTTTCAGCGAGCAGTTCAGAGGTTTTGCTAGCATGTATTTAAACTGGGGAGGGGGGGGGCAAAAGAGTGATAAAAGATCAATCCAATTGCCCCCCAAGAGTGTGTTAAAAAATAATAAGCTTAGAGTCATGTCTACAAATGCTCACAGTTTAGGGAATAAGATTCATGAACTTGTGGCTATAATGGCAACTGATAATGTAGATTTAGTCGCTGTTACTGAGACTTGGTATAACGAGAAAAATGACTGGGACATAGCAATACCAGGGTACTCTTTATATAGAAAAGACAGGGAAGGCAAGAAAGGTGGAGGGGTGGCCCTGTATGTGAAGGATAGCATAAGATCTAGCCTAATAAAAATTAGTGAGGAGAACATAGAGCCTGTTTGGGTTATGTTAAAATTTGGTAATCGCACAGTAACTCGTGTAGGTGGGATTTACAGACCCCCTAGACAAATAGAAGAGTAAGATAATCTACTAGCTGAGGAAACAGCTAAAATGACAATGAAGGGGGAAGTTATTATCATTGGTGAGTTTAATCTTCCTGATGTGAACTGGAAATCCAAAATAGCTGCTTGTGCCCGGAGCACACATATTCTAAACATCCTACTGGGATTGTCTCTAAAACCAACTCGTAAGGGGGCCATACTATATTTAGTGTTTACAAATGGAGATTTGATATCAGGCTTCCCCAAACTCTGGCCCTCCAGATGTTGCTGAACTACAACTCCCATGGTTCTGTGAATGAAGTAGATAGGCTGAGAATCATGGGAATTGTAGTTCAGCAACATCCGGAGGGCTGGAGTTTGAGGAAGACTGATCTAAAACATATTTACTTTGTCGCTCAAGAATATTTATCTTAAATGGTTTATGGATGCCAACAAACAAATAGATTTTTGTCTCATACTATATCCACAGGGAATTTCTTTAAATTTAAATCTGCTGTTGTTCTTGGAGTCAGAAAAACGTAGGACTAACATTTTGCGAAAAAGTTTAATGAAAATTTAAAATTGCTTATAATCTACTTCAATACAGATTTGAGGTGGCAGCACTACTTTAGAGATAGATTGTATCAACATCTCATTTGTGTTTTGTAAATTCATGAATGAAATGTTCTATTTTGTTAGGTTTATTCCTTTTTTTATATTTTAAGAGGTGGTTGGTTTATATATCATTAACTGAAATAAAAATACATGTAATGGAATTGTATGCATTCACTCAACTTGTCATATTTTTGTGATGCTGGAAGGAATTTATATTCAAATATCTGTTGTTTTAAAAAAAATAAAAAAAATTTAAACAAACTGTTGAATATGCTTTATAGCTGTACCCTGATTAGTCACAATATCAAAACCACCGATTAATAACATTGTTTATACAGTTATAGTGACACATGGCAAGGGGTGCGATACATTAGGCAGAAAGTGAACAGTTCTTGAATTTCATGTAATGGAAGCAGGAAAAATGGACAAGGGAAAAGGTCTGAGCGACTTTGACAAGGGCCAAATAGTGATGACTACATGACAGGGTCAGAGCTTCTTTAACCCCTTAAGGACGGAGCCAAATGTACACAGTGTGAACGAAACAAAATGTAAACAAAACCTGGCATTTGCGCTACATGTCTGTCCAACCGTAATACAACTCTTTCATAGTAAATGCACCCACCCTTATTATATATCATTTTATTCAGGGGAAACAGGGCTTTCATTTAATATCAAATATTTAGCTATGAAACATAATTTAATATGAAAAAATGGGAGAAAATACGATTTTTTTAAATTTTTTTAGTTCTACATGACATTTTAACGGTCAATGTCATAATACTGTTTGCTTTTACTGCAATAAAATACACATATTTGTATTCAGCAAAGTCTCACGTGTAAGACAGTACCCCCTATGTACAGGTTTTATGGCGTTTTGGGAAGTTACAGGGTCAAATATAGCACGTTACATTTGAAATTGAAATTCGCCAGATTGGTTACGTTGCCTTTGAGACTGTATAGTAGCCCAGGAATGAAATTTACACCCATAATGGCATACCATTTGCAATAGTAGACAACCCAAGGTATTGCAAATGGGGTATGTCCAGTCTTTTTTAGTAGCCATTTGGTCACAAACACTGGCCAAAGTTAGCGTTAGTATCTGTTTGTGTGAAAAATGCAAAAAAACGCCAATTTTGGCCAGTGTTTGTGACTAAGTGGCTACTAAAAAAGACTGGACATACCCTGTTTGCAATACCTTGGGTTGTCTACTATTGCAAATGGTATGCCATCATAGGGTAATTTTCATTCTTGGGCTACCATAGGGTCTCAAAGGCAACGTAACCAATCTGGCGAATTTTAATGTGAAAAAATGAAACACAAGCCTTATATTTGACGCTGTAACTTTTGAAAACACCATAAAACCTGTACATGAGGGGTACTGTTGTACTCGGGAGACTTCGTTGAACACAAATATTTGTGTTTCAAAACAGTAAAAAGTATTGCAGCAATAATATCCGTGTAAGTGCTGTTTGTGCGTGAAAAATGCAAAAAACTTCACTTTTACTGGCGATATCATTGTTGTAATACATTTTACTGTTTTGAAACACTAATATTTGTGTTCAGCGAAGTCTCCCGAGTAAAACAGTACCCCCAATTTACAGGTTTTATGGTGTCTTGGAAAGTTATAGGGTCAAATATAGTGCTAGCAAATTAAATTCCCTATACTTTCGGCATGGGTTGTCAGGCAGGTCCCGCTAATTGTAATTAATTAGGATACCTAATTATGTAAAAATATTACATAAATATATGTGTAGAATTAATATATGTATATATATACATATGTGTATATATACATATATATATATATATATATATAATTTTTAAAAATATTTTATTTATATATAGGTGTATATATTTAGTGATATATATGTATATATTTATGTATATAGATATATATATTATTTCGTTCTACGTGTATTTTGATATAAATATATATATATATATTAATATCACAATACAGTTAGAACTAAATAACAAACATCTATATATTTTTTTATTATCTATTTTTAATTATTTTTTTAATTTTATTTTTTTTACGTATTTACATTTTTTTATATTATATATAAATATATATATATAACAATAATTATATATATATATTTAATCAGTATTAGTCTACGTGTAATTTGATAGTAATATATATATAAATAATTATATATATTAATATTTAAATACACTGTATGTAAGTGTGTGTGTGTGTGTGTGTGTGTGTGTGTGTGTGTGTATATATATATATATATATATATATATATAAAACAAGAGGGGTTGGCTGCACTCACCTTAACATGCATAAATGGGGGTGCTGCTGGGGGCCAAATAATACAATACACAAGATCCAGCGCACTCACCTATCCACTAAACAGCAACTTCAAAGTTGAAAGATTTTATTTGTTTTATTTAAAAACACCTAATCTAGGCAACAATAATGGGGGTTTAGTTACATTATATGATCATACATTGCATAAGCCTGCCACAACGTCAATGTACCCCATCTTTGGCAGGTCCTACACTAACAGCCTAATGTCTGCTCTTATGAGATTAACCTACTTGGGAAAAAAAATTCCATCTGGGGCTCTCTGCAGTACAAGGCTAAATAGGGCCCTGGGATGAGGCACCTGTGACAGGGAGGGGTGCAAAACCAAGGAGTTGGCTAGACTCCCAAATATATATAAAACAAGAGGGGGTTGGCTGCACTCACCTTAACATGCATAAATGGGGGTGCTGCTGGGGGCCAAATAATACAATACACAAGATCCAGCGCACTCACCTATCCACTAAACAGCAACTTCAAAGTTGAAAGATTTTATTTGGGATGAGGCACCTGTGACAGGGAGGGGTGCTGTGACAGCACCCCTCCCTGTCACAGGTGCCTCATCCCAGGGCCCTATTTAGCCTTGTACTGCAGAGAGCCCCAGATGGAATTTTTTTCCCCAAGTAGGTTAATCTCATAAGAGCAGACATTGGGCTGTTAGTGTAGGACCTGCCAAAGATGGGGTACATTGACGTTGTGGCAGGCTTATGCAATGTATGATCATATAATGTAACTAAACCCCCATTATTTTTGCCTAGATTAGGTCTTTTTAAATAAAACAAATAAAATCTTTCAACTTTGAAGTTGCTGTTTAGTGGATAGGTGAGTGCGCTGGATCTTGTGTATTGTGTATATATATATATATATATATATATATATATATATATATATATATATATATATATATATATATACTTAGATCATATATATATATATATATATATAATATATATGATCTAAGTATATTTTATATTTAACTGTAATTTTTTTTTTTTAACTAATATTTTATTTTTATTACAGGACAGGGGGCAGAGACAGTGTCAGCCAGTGATTTTACATCACTGGCTGACACACAGGATCAGTGATCACAGTGACTGCCTGTCACTGTGATCACCTCCTGCAGATTGGGTAATTGGCCACAGGGGGGAGTGCCTGGGTAGTACAAGCACTCCCCCCTTCCAATCTGCAGGGGGGATCCTTGTGCCAGTTACATGTGTCAGCCAATAGGCTGACACATGTAACACTGATCGCAGTGACAGGCTGTCACTGCGATCAGAGCGCTCTGAGATCGCAGTGACAGCCTGTCACTGCGATCTCAGAGTTAGCAGATCGCGGTCACTGACCCCAGGGGACTGCCTGGGGGGCCAGGTAAGTCCCCCGACCGCGATCTGCATTGCAGAAAGCCGCCGGCCACGTGTGTCAGCCGATTTGAAATCGGCTGACACACGTTAAAAAACTGATCGCAGTGACAGCCTGTCACTGCGATCAGAGACTGCAGATCGCGGTCACCGGCCACAGGGGGGGTTGCCTGGGGGGCCGGGCATCCCCCCCGACCGCGATCTGCAGCGGGCGAATAGCGCCGGCCACGTGGGCGGCCATTAAAGTGAGGGCGTACTATTACGCCCGCCGGCGTTTAGAGCCGGCTCCTGCAGGGCGTAATAGTACGCCCTCCGGATTTAAGGGGTTAAAACCTAAAGTCTTGTGTTGGTTTCCTGTATCCAGTGGTTAGTAGCTACCAATGGTCTTTGATTCAGGTGGGGAGTGAAGGCTAGCCTGTCTGGTCCGATCACACAGAAGAGCTACTGTAGTTTAAACTGCTGAAAAGCTTAATGCTAGCCATGATAGAAAGGTGTCAGAACACAAAGTGCATTGTAGATTGCTGCATATTAAGCTGTGTAGCCATTGGTTAGCTGTTGCCAACATCTGTGGGCTGACAAAGGAGACCCAAAATGCACAGCAATGTAATAGGTGTATAACTGTGAGTGGTGTGTGTAGCTGTGTGTGGGTAGACCGTAGCTATGTATGGCATGGTTAGCTGTGTGAGTAGCTGTGAGTGATGCATGTGACAATGTGTGGGTAGCTTTGATTAATGTGTATTGCTGTGTGTGGGGTAGCTGTGAGTCATGTGTGTGACAATGTGTGATGTGTGGGTAGCTGTGAGTAAGGTGTATTGCCATGTGTGGGTAGCTGTCAGCTGACCTGGGAGATAAAATAGACCTTTTACAGCAGAGTAGCCCACTTCCATATTTTACAACTGGAAGTTTTTCTACAGGATTTAAATAATTGCACATTAAAGACACACAAATACACTTATGAACATATTCATTCTGTATTTATGCATGCAGACATACTGACAGATACACATACACACACACTCACAGAGACATACACACAACATAATTCATACATTCAGATACATTCATAGTTACATTTAGGCTGGTCTCAAATATATGTACTCCAGCACTCTATGTCTTGAAAATAAAAATATTCTTTATTGTTACATCAATCAACTAGTCAAAGTGTCAATTTACACACCGTTCATCCAAAAGATGCACTCACAGATACAAAACATACAGACACACAGTCACACAAACACATACACACACATACAGTCATACAAACATATACAACTGCAAACTCAGTGACACATGCACACAAAGATACATACTCTCAGAAATACAGATACACAGTCAGTGATATAGGCACAATACACATGAGAAGAAATACATGGGGGAAGTAGTAGAATTTCCATTTAGTACAAAATGGGAAGGTAGATTCAATTTTGCTGCTCCTCAACCCAAACTTTCCAGGGACAGTAGTGGGACAAAGAATATAGGCAGTAGTGGGGGGCTAAGTGCTGAAGTCGGGGTTCTGGACTGTAGTGAGGGACATGGGCTGTACTAGGTGTTACGGTACCCTCAGCATCAAATGTAAAAACCGCCGTTTAGTGAATCCTCCCCTCTCGCAATAACACAGGCTTCATTCGTATCAAGTGCAATCATACGAACCGCAAGCAGGGGAACGCTGTAATCTCACGAACTGGACACGTACGGGCACTTCACTTCACGAGCTCCAAACTCACGAATCGCCAATAGTAGCCGAACACATATATCTCCCAAGTGGCTTATAATCCCATCCGGCAGTCTCTAGTCGTCGGTAATAAATCCCCCCAATAATGAGACCAAGCTCCGCATTGAGGGTAAAACATGAACTGGCTTTACTGTGGGCTACCTGCCGTATTTATGCAGGTCTCCCACTTGGTGGACACTCCCCTAGGGGACCAAATGGGAGACTGTAACAATAGACAGACATATGGCAGGTTAGGACCCACAGACACAGAATATTCCCAGCATGCATTATGATTTCCTCCCCTCTGCCCTGGAGATAATTGAGAAGTAATTCAATTATCTCCAGGACAGAGGCAAATCGCCATTTTAAATTCAACACAAAAAACACACAAAAATATATAACTTTATAATTGTCGAACATTTCCCATTCGTATCACATATCCCCAGATAGTCTGGATCTGAGTGCATATTTTTGGCGAATAGCGCTCAGATCCCATACGTATAGTTCAATCGCCATGGAGTCAAAGTCTATTACAGTCTTTCGGTATGCGATTTACTCCATGGGAAGGTTATCTGGGTTAAGTCCATTCGTGCGTTTCAAACTCCCGAACGGCCGGTGTTCGTGTACTTCTGTTGACTGAGAAGGGAGGTCGGCGGCTTCAGCGGTGTTCGGCAGGAGAAGTGTCCGTTTTCAGTTCCATGAAATCAATGCCGAACACCGCTGGTCTTTCGCATGGTTTAAAATGGCCGCCGCCTCGTGGTCGACATACGAACGATGACCACCCTGTATTCGGTTTTAATTGAGAAGTGTCTGCGGTTAACCACAACGTTCTAATTGGGTTCAAGAGGTTAACCAGCAGCACACTTCTCTTCTGGGTGGCCGTCCGTTCGGTAGTTTTGTTCGGCAAAAAACGTAAATTATACGAACAGAGGCATACGAATGAGTAATTCCCCGAAAACGGCAAAACAGATGAACCAGCAATCCCAGGTTATACAGATGGATCTGTCACACTGGGGAAATGGGCAGTAGTGGGGGGTTTAGGTCTGTAGCAGGATATAGGGCTATAGTGGTGATATGGGCTGTAGGGGAATATAGGGGCTGTATTGGGGAGTTAGGAGCTGAAGTGGGGGGTCAGGAGATGTAGTGCGGGTAAGAGGGCAACAGTTAAAGGATGTAGTAGGGATTACGATTAGTAGTGAGGAATAGGGGTAGTATTGGAGGTTTAAGAGCTATAGTGGTGGTTAGAGGCAGTAGTGGGGGCTTGTGGCAGTAGTGGTGGATTATGAGTTGTAGTTAGGGGTCAGGGGATGCAGGGGGACTAGGAGCTTCATTGGGGTTGTTAGAAGTTACAGTGGGTGGTTAAGGGCTAGAGGCAGTGGTGG